CAGGATTTTGCTAGGGAGATAAAGAGAGATTTGCATTCTGGTCAGAGAGAACAATGCACAAAAAGCTGGAGATAATGAAGAAGTGTGGCCTGTTTGGAGCATTTCAAATATTTTGTTATTTCCGTAGCATCAAGTGCTGAGGAAGAAGTAAAAGAAAGGGAATTAAGTAGAGCCCAGATCAGGAAGGGCACTGAATGCCATGCTAATCAGCGTGGACTTTCTATGGTAAGTAGTCACTGAAACAGACTGTGGTGAGATTGTGGTGGGGTAAGATTTATATTTTAGAAAAATCTCTGTTAGCTGTCAGTTTGGTAGGGAGTGAGGCTGGAGGAAGAAACATCACCTAGGAAACCTTAGCAATAATGCAGATGACAAGGGATGAGGACGTGCATTCTGAGTGGCTCTTCTCAGCATCTGTTATGTAGAGGGCAAGGCAGGAGGAGAAGGGAGAGCAAAGGGAAGTGAAAAAATCTTTCACTTGGATGGCAGTGTTCACTTTGGAAGAGTCACTTTCCATCTGCCCTCCACACTTACAAAATACACTGAATAGGCATGTTCTCCCCGAATTCATTTTTTTTTAAATCCATGAAAGAGTTCCTACTAAATGAACCCAAAATCCAGATTTTGCTATAGGGGGCCTCTTAGCTTTCAGAATCAGTGTTACAACTTTGTAAGAAAGCACTTTCTCCTTTTTATTAAAATGCAAAGTAGGCAAGATGAGAATAAAGTGTGTCCCTTTCTGGCTCCCCTCAAATAAGTGGATAAATGTGAAAACATACTGGAAGCACTTTGAGCTGCAAAGAATCGTACCTATATCGTAATATCCCTGATACTGAGTTGTGGTAGGATGATCAGCAATCAGCGGAACTGCCACACATAGAATTAACCTAGCTCTGGAGTTCTTTGACTTAATAAGAAAGCTGGATTACGGTTATGGTTGCCAGATCAAATATAGATGACTTTTGTCATCTAAGTATGACCCAAATATTGCATGGGATAAACTTATGCTAAAAAAATCTGTTGTATATTTGAAATTCAAATTTAACTGTGCATCCTGGTTTTTAAATTACTATTATTGTTTGCTATATCTGTAAGTCCTAGTTATGGTAGTAGCTTTAAGGAAGAAGTTGACTCAATTAATAACCTATTTATCTTATATTGTGGCATTCTGGCTTCTTTTATGCATTAGAAAATACTTTAGCTACATATGAGGGAATAACGAAGCCCCAAACAAAAATGACTAGTAAGTTATAAAAATTTTCCCAGCAATACTGGGAATCTCTTAAAATCTGTGCCATTTAAAACAGCAAGGGGAGGAGCATCCACTCCTAACTAATGAAACAGTATATTAACATTTTTAAAAAAGAATAATGTTCATTAACATATTGTAAGTACTACAACTTCAAAGGCAAGTATTTCTAAAGAACCAACAGCCCATAAGAATATAGAGGCATAAAAACTTTTCTAAAGAAGTAACACTTAGAAAAAAAAATTTAACAAACAATACTTTCGTGATAAATGACAGAAGAGACAACCCTCACCACCAAGAAAAGTTTTTCATGCTCACGGAGGTCTTACTAATATGTCCTCAATTGACTGCCAAAAAAAAAAAAAAAAAAAAAAAAAGGATGACACCGCCATCTTTGGAATCCAGGGCAAGGTAGAAAGCCCAGCTTTCCAAATCTGGGAATCTTACAGCATTTACACTAAAGTGTTGGGCTATATTTTATGCCCTTTCAGCTCATTTTTATTACTTCCAGACCTCTGTCCTCATTAAGGCACAGATATCAACTGGGAGCTACTTATAGGATAGATACCAAATAGTCTGTCTGCTGGTGAGACACAGACCTCTACCTTGCATGCATATCAGCTGGAGAAAAAAGAGCCCTTATTCATCAAATTTAAAAAGCACTCTCTCATTTCATGCTAATTGTATGGTCCTTTGCATGATGTACAAAAGATTGCCTAAGATGAAAGGCGTTAAAAAGAAAACTACCAGTCTTGGAGGGGTTTTTTTTTTTTTTGGAACAAGATTAACTTACTACTTTTTTAGAGAAAGTAAATGACTAATTCAAATATTGCATTTATCTTCACAGAATGACCTTTATAGGTTTTATTATTATCAACGCCCATTCGATGGCCTCTCTGCCTAACAAAATGTGACCTCATTCTAGTAATCTCAGTGCTCCAAAACGTTTTAGGGTGGTGTCAAACAGTTCATAAATTAAAGAATCTGAAATAAAGTACACACAGCTCTTCTATGATTTTTCCCCCACAAAGGAAATAGTTAAACCTCACTGGAAAAGAGAGGCTGATTATTAATAAATGCCTGTTTCCCAGCTCTTACAACATGCAGGCTCTGCTTCAGCTGGTTTCTTATAAAAGCACAATATGAAAAATTCATTTTTGGTTAGAGATATTATTAACAGTAATAATATGTAATGATATAATAAGTGACAGAATATTAGTCAAGGGTTGTAAATAAGATGATAAGCCACGGTAACTTATGACCTACCATCATTTATGGTATATGGTAATATATGAATTGGGTCTTTGAAAACCTGCATTTAGATTCATGTTACTATAAATATCAACCAGTTATTAACAACGACGTCAAAGCCCTCAGGGGAATAGAGGTGGAAAGGAGAGAAACAGTAGGTGCAGTTCATTCACTTAGGCTGCATGACAACAAAGAGGCATTTATTCCTTCCAGAACTATCTATCGATTGGATCAGTCAACTGAACGGGGTTGGCAATTCCAAAGAACAGCTGCTTCAACCTGCAGCCCTTGCATAAGCAAAAGAATAATTGGGCACCAAACTGCCCCCAAAACAGACTCTTCAAGAGGTTAAAATCTGAATCAATATGCTGCTAATAACCAACATTAACTATACCTATTAATGATTTTTTTTTTTTTTTTTTTTTTAGCCTAGTAGACGAGCATAATCCAGTAAAATTTAAGGCGAACCACATATGTGATTTTCAGTGTTCTGGTAACCATAGTAAGAAAGTTAAAAGAAAAAAGTGAAATTAATTTTAATATTCTTTTTTCAGCCCAGTTTATCCATAATGTCATAGCAGCATGTACTCAATGTAAAATATTATTGAGATACTTGTGATCTTTTTTCATGCCAAGTCTTTGAAACCTAGTATATACTAGCACATCCAAATTCAGAATAGTCACATTTCAAGGGCTCAACAGCTACATGTGGCAAGTGGTGACTACATTCAGTATACTTAAAATTTTACAAACTAAAACAAAAAAACAAAACAAAACAAAAAAAGCCTTGTTCTTAATTACTACCTAATGTTTTCCTGGGAGTCAAAGCTCAAGCCACTAGAGAAGTTACTTGTTCTTTGCGTTAATGAACACAGTGAAAACACAGCTATACCACTAAAAACAAGGATTGAATCCTAAGAAGGTCATGCTCAATTTTCACTAATAACAAGTATTTATATATTAAACTACTTGTTTTCCCTGGCCCCATTTCTGATTCCGCCACCAATTTTAGGAGGTTTTTTTTTTTTTTGGTTTGTTTTTTTTCCTCTGAGGATCTAATTACTAGCCACATCACCCTATAGTAAGTGAAAAATCCATATCTTTACCATTGGGACTTTGAATAAAGTAATGTTCCAAAGTAGCAAATTATGTAATTCCTAAATCTGAACTGGTTTATGACAAATTGGTAAGAATCGTGGAGTTTCCTCATGAAAAGAGTTCCAAAAAATCAAGAAAAGAATAACTAAAAACAAATGACTATCAAAATACACTAAATTCCAGGCTAACAAGCTCTTGGCCCTTATGAAACTACAAAAGAAAGCTTAAGGGCTTGCATGCTAAACTGAACCCCAACAGACCATTTTAAAGAGCTGAGGCAGGGATGATCATTAGTAGAAAAACAAGTGACAGAGAGGTGCCAGTATTTAATCCTCAAATCTGAACATTCAAAATTTAAAAGGCATAATATTTTTTTAAACAAAATCAATGCCAGTTCATCATTTTTCTTGTCTCTCAGTTATTGTTAGACAATTTTAATTTCAAGTTTGGGTTTTGATTTGACTGACAATCGCAGGCAATATATTAGGAACCAAACCCAAAAAGTTAATAGAATTGTAAATTTCATAATACCTAAAATAAATGAGATGCACACAGAATAGACCTTTACATCACGTATGAAATTAAGTAATACATCAGAAAAAAATTCTCAAATTATGCTTTTATCTATAATTCATATGTAATTTAACTTTATACTTCTCATAATTATTTTCTGATCTCATACTCTCCTGGGTACCACCTTTCCATATTAGTAAAACTCATTAGCATGTAACTTGTTAAGGAAAGCAGTGGTTAACTGATTCATTTGGCTAATTGATGGTTGGCCCTAAAATTGGCTTGAGTGACAATTCCCTCAGAAAAACACAGCTATAGCCTCCAATCCTGGGCTTCAGTTATGGTCAACCGTCTTGCATGATCTTGCAATGATGAGCTTTTAGAAGTGCAATACAATTTTTTTTGGCCAAAAATCTTCAACAGAGTAATGACTCAGAAATTTTGAGACATAGAGAGCAATGCTGAACAGAGCTTTGGCCAAAACAGGTATTCATGACATATTTACTGAAATAAATGAATGGTCTGATAGTTCAAATAGGCTCTTTGGTAAGAAGCTGGGATATTACAATGTATTAACCAGGCCAATCAGGTTTTATTTAGGCAATGATAAAGATACCAATGCCGAGTTACTCACAGTATGTTTTGGGTGACTAAATAACCTTAGGCTAGAATCTGAGCCCATTTTTTTTCTTCAGAGCAAAACTGCAACTAAGTTGAAAGCACACAATACTGGTTTTGGTTCTCAATCTCAATAGGCATGAGATAGAGGTTAAGAAAAAAACAAAAAACAAGTAACACCCACGGAGATTTATCCAACCAAAAATGGTACACCTCTTTCTGATCTGCTTCAGTGGCCCTTCTGCACAAGTGTGACTTCTGTCCCGCATGGTGAGAAAGTCTATGAACCACGATGGGGCAAGGAAGGTCATGACGGGACATGCGCCTCAGACGAAGTCACTGGATTTTGTCCTGTAAGCAGCTGAAGAGCCCCTGATGTCATCGGGTAAGGTAGCTCTATGGTCAGATCTGTGGGCAAATGGACTGAATTGATGGCAAAAACTGAAAATCAGGAGGCCATTTCAGAAACGCTTCTCTGCAGTCCATGTGAGAGATAATAAAGCCTGAATGACTACAGCTGCCAGTGGGGAGCGAGAAGAAAGGGCAGGTGAGGTAGAAACAAAATGACTTGGTGACCAACTGGGTTGAGAGCAGAGGAAGAGGGAAAAAAAAAAATCAAGGATAATTCCCTGGCTTCTGCCTTGGGAAGATACAGCTCTCCATGTCACATCATTCTGTCAGCTTTCAATTTTGGAATCTGGTTTCCTGAGATTGGTCCCTGCTGCTTTGCCATATTCCCTGTCCTAAAGAATGTCCCCAGGTGCCGGGCACCTGGGTGGCTCAGTGGGTTAAGCGTCCGACTTCGGCTCAGGTCATGATCTCACAGTTCGTGGGTCCGAGCCCCGCATCAGGCTCTGTGCTGACAGCCAGCTCAGAGCCTGGAGCCTGTTTCAGGTTCTATATCTCCTTCTCTCTCTGACCCTCCCCTGCTGTCCCTCTCTCTCTCTCTCAGAAACAAATGAAACATTNCAAATGAAACATTAAAAAAAAAAAAAAAAGAATCTTACTAGATGAGAGGTCACAGATTTGTAACAATCAGGCTTAACCAGACTTCAGTTCTGACTCTCCTTCTCTCTCTGACCCTCCCCTGCTGTCCCTCTCTCTCTCTCAAAAAAAAAAATGAAACATTAAAAAAAAAAAAAAAAAAAAAAGAATGCCCCCAGGTGCTACTGACTATAGAGGCAGAAATACAGAGGCAGCAGCCACCACCAGAGTGGTGGTGATGAGAGGAAAGCACCGGCCTCGTCTATATAACCTTCAGCAAGTAAAAGCAACAACCCTTTACGTGATGCTCAGTTTAATTCTGTACACAAATAATTAGGTCAAAATGTAGTTATTATAAACCCCAGTAGTACAAGGCACTATGGAAAACAAAAATGAAGTGCAAGAGCAGGTTTCCTGACAGTTATACAGGAAAGCCATGAAGTGCAAAGCAAAGATTTTGTGGTTCCATTACTGTCACTGGTTGTGTGACCTTGGGAAACTGATATTTTTGACACTTGACTGCCCCCTCAGTGAAATATATAGATAATATAGCCTACCTCACCTGTAAAAATTAATGAGATATATATGTAAAATTCTTACCAGTACCAGGCCTAACTTATCAAAGATTCAAAAGATAATAATAAAGTTAATATGCTTCTTTATTTCCCATCCCCTTTGACTACTCAAAGACCTCCAGCCTCCAAATAGAGTCTAGTTATTACCAATGGGTATTTCTTTCTACATCCCTCATGCTCATCCACACTGATGTCTATTGTTAGAAAAATGAAGCTACTGGGGCACTTCGGTGGCTTAGCCGGTTAAGCGTCTGACTTCGGCTCAGGTCATAATCTCACGGTTCATGGGTTTGAGCCCCACGTCAGGCTCTGTGCTGACAGCTAGCTCAGAGCCTGGAGCCTGTTTCAGATTCTGTGTCTCCCTGTCTCTCTGACCCTCCCCTGTTCATGCTGTCTCTCTCTCTCTCTCAGAAATAAATTTTAAAAAAACATTAAAAAAAAAAAAGAAAAATGAAGCTACTAAAAAGCAAAATAGGTTGAGATCTATATCAGAGACTGTTGTAGTCCATCCAATATTCATCTTTCCTTTCCTCCTCATTAATGATTGCTGATTTTGCTGGTGGTAGCAAAGTACCAAGCTAAAAACATGTCCCAGGCCCCATTGCCACTGGGGGTAGCCATGTGACACATTAGGGCCAATAAATGTTGCTGGAGAGGTTTTGGAAAGTTTCTGGTCACAGGCACTTTTTTTTTTTTTTTTTTTTTTGAGAGAGAGAGAATGCATGCACACATGAGTTAGAGAGGGGCAGAGAGAGAGAGAGAGAGGGAGGATCCCAAGCAAGCTCCATGCTGTCAGTGAGGAGCCCAACTCAGGTCTCAATCTCAAGCACCATGAAATCCTGAACTGGGCCGAAATCAAGAGTAGATGCTTAACTGACTGAGCCACCCAGGCACCCCCAGTCACAGGCACTTTTATCCTTCCTTCACCAGCCTTCCTTTTCCCAACTTCCTGGAAACTGGATATAATGAATGGAACTGCAATAGCTATCTTACAAACTATGAGGAAAAGATCAAGATTCATAGGACAATGGCCTTGATATACTTGAGTTCCTAAAACAGTGCCTCCACCACCTTCCAAGAGACTTGTCATTACATGGGACAAATAAAGCCCTAAACTTAAGTTGCTGCCTTTTAGGTATCTGTAACTTTCATCTGGGCACAATTCCTGATTTAATCCCTTTAACCGCACTTTGGCATGATTTTCAAGGCATTGGTCATAATTTCCTTCCAATTGAAAAAGAAACACGTAAGAGTGTCCAATATATGTCAGACACTGTGCATACATACATGTAAATAAAAATTACATACTGACTCATCTAATTCTTACAGGAACACTGAAAGGTAAGTACTTCCACTCCCATTTCACAGCAAAGGGACATGAAGATATAAGAGGCTAAGTATTATCAAAGGTACCATATTGGTATATGGCAAAGCCAAGATCTAAGCTCCAAGTCCGGTGATAGAGTTCATGTTCTGGCAGCTTCCCATGCTACTTCAGGGCTTCTGTGAATCTGCTACTGTGAAGAATGACCCCAAAGACAAGGTCTCTAAATCAGGAAGTCACTCTTCCTAGGTCCTCCATACTTATGTCTAAAATCTGGTAAATCATCTAAAACGTATGTCTGGAGCATGAAGAAAAAGTGTGTGGAGAAAGAGGCCACAGAGTGGTGGATGGAGCAGGCAGTGCAGGTGGCAGGGCCTAAGGTACCCTCTGCCTGGAAGCAGCCAGACAGAGTTGCTGATCTGGAAAGGAGGCTCTTTTTACCTCTGTCCTCCAGCCAACAATAATCCTGAAGAAACCAGTGACTGGAGATCAGTGTGTGAGCCTGAGGCATGGGAGAGACGTTAAGCAAGCGCCCTGTTCCCATACATCCTCACAGGAAAAAGTTCATGTATAATTTTATCACATATTTAAAATAAGGATAAAGGAAATTGAAATTGTCTATGGGTGCATATAGATCTCTTATAACCGAGTAACATAAAAACCACACAGAAAAGGTAGACTATTTTATGTAAGTATTGCATAAATATGTGTGTGCAAATTTTAACCCTTTTCTCCACACAATGAATCTGAAATGGCCAAAAGGATTCAAAATAAGTTGAAAGATCATGCCCAGGAAAAATATAGGAGTCTAGAGAAGAGGAAAACAAAGTATGCAGATCATATCCTCTAGGGTTCTAAATAATTACTAAAAGCTGAGCTGAAAATTTAGGTCTGAGCTTCCCCTTACCAAGCAAAATAGAAAAAATGATGAGGTACACAATTCACAGTGGCCTGAGAAAAGGGGATATTACCACCTCAGGAGAAGCAAAATATTTTCTATCGATACAAAAGCAGTAAGAAGCGAGAAGACCTAATTGGGACTTGACACAGGGGAGACTATGTGATGTAGGAGACAATGTCTTAGTAATTCCTTCATAATAAATGTCATAGTGTATTCCACACAAGTTTCTCACAGAGTTATTCGGCCAAGCTGAAAAACTATTCAGGGAAGGCAATCTGTGCAGGATGAAGGCAGTGAGATAGAAATATACTCTCATGGACTAGCTGGATCTAGTGATAATATACCCAGAAATCTAGATGAACAAATAGCATGTTCTCACAATTAGTCTCCACCCAAAACCAGCCTAATAAGTAGGATCATGCCATAGTTCGCACACTCTTTTCAGTTCAGAAGGTCTGAGAAAGTTTTCATAGGCTTTTTATTACTATGGAGCAAGAACTTCAGTCCATTATCACTGTGCTCTTAGGTATAGTTTATGCCAAAGTCTTCTCTCCTCCAAGTGGCATAACAAGGCAGAGAAAATGTGGGTTGCTTTTATAAAAAAAAAAAAAAAAAATTATGGCTTTTGGCTTTTACATTAGCAGTTTCTAGTATGTATACTTTCTATTATATAACTGGTGTTAGAGAAAATTTATGAATTCACACCCAGAATGGTTTCTTAATTTAAAAGCAATGTGTAAAAGGCATGTTCCTAAGGACAGGACATCCCCAAAGTGGACATTAAACAGTCCTGGGATGGTGGAAATTGATGTTAATTACTGACAGAAACTCATTTAAAAAAAAAAAAAAAAAGACATGTAAGGAGCAGTGCCTGCTAGGTCTGGAAAGAAATGTAAACATCGATGTAAATTAGCTGAGCTTCACCAAAATGTAGTTTTTTCCCTAGATCTTCATATTGGTGCATCCTCATCAGCATATTTACAACAAGAATCCTCACTAAGGCACAAAGGAGAATATTCAGAAAATGCGAATTAGAGCAAATATGTATCTTCATGCTACTTTCCCACTGCAAAAGAGTCAGACGAAATGTGTCTTTCAAACCAGAATCTCTGGTTGTGTAAAGACCACATAAATACGGCTGGGCTTTCATTGAAACTCCCTATATAGTCACAAGAAGTTACAACTGTAACATGAACCAAAGGAGGAAAAAATAAGGACCATTTGTTCCTAATTAAAAAACAAGGGATTAGAAAAAAGACGGCTATGGGAAATAGGGAACAGTTGTTCTCTCAACATGGACCTCTCACCCTGCTGATTTTGTGGTTCTTAAAACTATAAAAGTGGGGAAACTGGAAAAATGACCAAATGACTACCAAAATATAAACAGAATATCCTATCAGCTTCTTAAAAATAATATTTTCTAATTTGGAGATGGAAAACTAGATTCGCTGGGCAAAGAAGCCAAGTATTTCCACATTTTGGTTCTCCCTCCTCCACACATCTAATAAACACACATTGGATCGGACGTGGCTCCACGCAATGCGGTGACAAGGTTCCAGTTCTCTGACTCTAATTGCAATCAATTGCGATAAATCAGCAGA